TACTGAAAATTTTTATTATTAATCTATGTTGGATTTTGTCAAACTTTTTTCTGCACCTATTGATATAACTCTTTGCTTTTTTCCCTTTAACTTGCTGATATGGATTACACTGATTTTTTTCAAATGTTGAACCAGAGTTCTGCAACCAGAACTCATTTGGTTGTAGTAGATTATTATTTACGTAAACAATTATTAATACAATTATACAATTAGCAAATTATTTTTTATACATAATTGGATTCAATTTGAAAAACAATGCTTTGTTAGGATTTTTCCTTGTATGTTCATGAGAGATACTGGTCTGTGATTTTCTTGTTTTGTAATCTCTTTGCTTGTTTTTGATATTAGAGTAATGCAATGGTAGCCTCATAGAATAAGTTAGGAAGTACTCCCTCTGCTTCTATTTTCTGGAAGAGACTGTAGAGAATTGATATAATTTATATGCTAAATGTTTGGCAGAGTTAGCAGTGACCCCCATCCGGGACTGGTGGGCTCTGTATGGAAGGTTATCAATTATGAATTCAGTTAATAATATGGACCTTATTATAGTTTATACCTACGTGTACCCCAAAGCCTCACCCACCCATAGATGGGGCTTTGGGGAGGTGACTGGATCATGGGAGTGTGATACTCAGCAGTGAATTAGTCTGCTGATGGGTTTATAGCTAAATGTGAATTTGGGAGGTGGAGCCTGGATGGAGGAGGCGGCCCTGGGGCGTGGCCTGGGGGGGTCCATCTCTCCCTTCCTCCCTCGTCCCCTCCCTCTGCTTCTTGCTGCCTCCTGGCGCACCTGCTCTGCAATGCACCCTGCCGTGCTGCCTTGCCTCAGACTGAGTGAAACCTCTGCAAACTGTGAACTAAAACAAACCTCTCCTCCTTTAAGTTGAGGATGTCGGGTATTGTGTCTTTCTGGCCAAGCTCTTTGCCTCCATGCAATGACCATTTACACCTCCTTTATTCAGACTGCCAAGTCTCGCTTCATCCTTTTGCTCTCAACAGATGACCTAGCACCCACCTTCATCAAATACTAAACAGCACTAGATTCCTAAGTACACATGCGTCTGCACCCATCCTCCCCTCCCTCCCTTCTTTACAATAGACAGAGGTCCATCTGGTGACAACAGCAACGTCAGCAAGGATGTGGAGCAACTGGAACCCTCGGGAATCACTACGGCAAATTTAAAACATTACAACTTCTTTGGAAAACACTTCAGGAGTTTCTTATAAAGTTAAATACATACTTACCTATGAAGTGAAGAAATTCCACTTCTAGGGATTTACCCAAGAGAAATAAAAACATATACCCAAAACACTTGTAGAAACATGTTCTCTCCAGCTTTATTCACAATAGCCCAAAATAGGAAGCAACACCAATGTCCACTGACAGGTGAATGGATAAACTAATTGCTACATATTCATAACAGCAGCAACCCATTCCATTCTACTGCACTCAGACACAAGAAATTAACCACAGGTACACACAGACAGTTGAATCTCAAAAGCTTTGTGTTGGGCAAATATGTTAGACAAAAAATAAGGATTCAGGGCCGGGGATTTAGCTCAGTGCTGCCACCTGTTGCACAAGCTCAAGGACCCAAGTTCAATCACCGGTACCAAAAATAATAATAATAATAAGGATTCATTAACAGAAAACCTAGAACAGGGAAAACTAATCTTTGGCAATAAAAATTGCAACAGTAGCTGATTTTGGTGGAGTAAGGAGATAGATAGGAAAAGGAAACTAGCTGGGGTGATGGAAACATTCCATGACTTGATTAGATTGTAGTTATATGAATGTACACAATTGTCAAAATTCATCAAATTATGTACTTAAAATCTGTTTTTTATATGTAAATTATACTTCAAAATAAGTGCCAACTTCTCACATTTTAAAATAATCAGATCATTCCCCCTCTGTCTCTCTTAGGCAGAAGCTTTCTTTCTCCCAATAAATTTTCCCTACTCAAAAAAAAAAGGGCCGGGGATTTAGCTCAGTGGTGCCGCCGCCTGCCTCACAAGCGCCAGGTCAGGAGTTTGATCCCTGATACCAAAAAAAAAAAAAAAAAAAAATCAAATCCTTTTCAGGTATTTTTGGATCCTGCCACATCACAAATCGTCCCTAAAAGATGTTACCAGAGGTGAAGAACACACAGTCACTGTCTCTGGGGTGTTAGAATACGGAGGCAGTCCTGTTACAGCGGTTAATGGACAGGGCCGTCGGATTCCGCTGACTCGCGGCCCGGAGCAAACTGCAGCTTGGAGAGTGATGTGATATTGAAGGAGATCCTGCGTGGAAGGTAGAACCCCGGCGCATACGAGGTTGTAGGGAGGTAGAAGAAAGGGCAGGGTGGACTCGAGAGAGGAAGCTGCACCTCGGCCCCACTCGGATGCTCTCCCAGGAGCCTCCCCGCTGCTGGGCCCGCCCAGGCCCAGGCCTCCAGACCAAGGCAGCCTAGACTAGATATGGGGGCGCTTGGGGAAATCCAGCCCAGCAGCCCAACACGGAGCCCGACATCTCCACGGCCGCCGGTCCGGAGCAGCCTGATGACCGGCCTCTCCCTCGCTGTCTTGTCCCCAGCTCCACCTCCCATCCAGACGTTGCTGCCTTCTTACCTGGAGGGAATCTTGAGGACCAAAATTCAAGGCCCTGGCTGTGCCTTCCATGGCCTCAGGCCCTGTCACCGAGCCTCAGTCAGTCACAGCACTCCCGGAGCGTGGCAGTCGTGGGTCGCTGTAGCAGCGCTCTCATATAGAGCAGCCGCGGCAGCCAACATCGAGCTGTTATTGCAGTGCACCTGCAGTAGCACCAGGAGCTGGCATTTGGTGGCGTCCAACTGTGTGCCAGGCCCACTCTGAGTGCTTCAACACTCTCAGTGAACCAAAGTGCCTACATCTTGTCTCCCAGGAGACAGACGTCTCATAAATACTCTCTTGTAACTGTCTTTGTCATTGTTGCATAGGGAAGACTTATTCTTTATAGAAAAAAAAGTTAGAGGATTGAAGTTAACAAAAACATGAAATAAAAATGTCCACCATCTTTGGGGAGGTGGTGGCCACCTATAATCCCAGCACTCAGGAGGCTGAGACAGGATTGCCAGGACTTTGAGGCCAGCCTGGGCCACGTAGTGGGACCCTGTCTCAAAAAAAAATCACCACCATCATCTTTCTTTAAATTAATCAGTACTCTGTCCTCAAGGCATAAATTGTTCTATATATTTATAAAAACAGTATTCAGCACATGGGTTAATTTCCTTATGTCATGCAAGCTGGGATATAGCTCAGTGGCACCACACCTGCCTGGCAAGCGCAAGGTCCGAGTTCGATTCCTGATACTGAGAAAAAAGACCAGTAACTACTTACTCATTCAATAATGTATTTAATGTATTAAGAGTCTCTTCTCATATTAATAATATACTGCTAATATATCATTTCAATAGCTATTTTATATTCCATCGTTCATAATATAATGTACTTATCCAGTCTCTTTTTTAAAATTAATTTTATTGGTATATTTATGGTATACAATATAATGACATTCATCATTGGAAATTTGCACCTTTACATGATCCATCTTGGTTCTTATTTTTTCCTCATCCCCTCCCCTCCCTTCAACCCCTCCACCCCTCCCTATCTACAAAGATTTTTTTTTCAATTTTTTCTTTTTCTCATATTAATTCCATTCCCCTCTTTCCTTTCCCGTATTCCTTCCACTTCCCTTCCCCTTTGCTCCTTTTCTTCCTATTTCACATTATCTATTATATCTTTTAGTCCTTATTTACCCTTCCAGTTTCTCACACTAGAGAAACTATTCAGTATTTACACGTGTGTCCTATTTATTTCACTTAAGACTATCGCCTCAATGTGCATCCATTTAGCTCTAAATGTCTCTAGTTTCTCATTCCTTATGGCTGAGTAATACTCCAGTTTATTTTAAAAAACCATATTTTTGGGTGGAGGGGGTGAAGGGAGCACAGGGAATGGGGAAAAAATAAGAACCAAGATACATCATGTACAGGTACAAGCATCTAATGATAAATGTAAATGCACTGTATACCTAAAATGTACCAATAAAAGAATTTAAGCAAAAAAAAATCCAAACATTTTCTTTATCCAGTCTCCAGTTGATGGACAATTGGGTTGTTTCCAAGTTTTAGCTATCACAAATTGTGCTGCTATGAACATGGGTGCGCATATATCACTGTGGTATGATTCTTTTAATTCTTTAGGGAAGATCCCCAGCAGTGGAATAGCTGAGTCAAATGGGACTTCCAGTCCTAGTTCTTTGAGGTGTCTCCCTACTGATTTCCACAGTGGTTGCACCAGTCTACACTCCCACCAGCAGTGGAATAGGGTTCCTCTTTCCACACAGCCCCGCCAGCATTTGTTATTGGTTGATTTCTTGATAGCAGCCATTCTTTCTGGGGTGAGGTGGAATCTCAGCTTTGTTTTCATTTGCATCTCTTGAATGACCAGTGATGCTGAACGTTTTTTCATATGTTTATTTGCCATTTCTACTTCTTTGAGAAATGTCTGTTCTTTTCAGATGCCTGTTTTTGGATTGGGTCTTTAAATTTGGGAGGTCTGATTTTTTTAAGTTCTTTATAGACTCGAGATAGTAGACCTTTGTCTGAGGGACAGCTGGTGAAAATTTTTTCCCACATTGTGGGTTGTCTCTTCACACTGCTGGTGGTTTCTCTTGCTGTGCAGAAGCTTTTCAGTAAGAAGAGATCCCACTTGTTGATTGTTTGTCCTAGTTTATGGGCAACTGAGGCTTTGTTCATAAAATCTTTTCCTACACCAATGTCTTCAAGAGTTCTACCTAACCTCTGTTCCAGCCCATTCAGCGTTTCTATTTTAACATTTAGGTCTTTAATCCATTTCTATTTTAGTTTAGTGCATTGCGAGAGATACAGGTCTAGTTTTAATCTTTAGCCAGTTGAAACCCAATTTTTCCAGCACCATTTATTTATCCAATCTCTTATTGTTGGGCATTTAGATAGTTTTTTGGGTTGGTGCATATACACATTTTTGTTTGTTTTTTTGTTGTAAAAAGTTTTTCACAGACATCTTTATCACTATTTCTTTGCACACATTTCCACTTATTCCCTTAGCGTGGATTCCTAGAAGTACAATTGTTGAATCAAAGAGTGTGAGCATTTTTAAGCCCTATGAAGCCGCTGAGAACCTGGCTTTGGGGCAGGCAGATGCCCCTTGGATCTCAGATTCTGGCCCTGCACAAGGTGAGGCTCCACCTCTCCAAGAGGTGGGCGGTGCCGCAGGGACCCAGGTTCCCTTCCCAGCTCACCACTGCACGCACTCCAGATGTAGAAAGTGCACCTCCTGTGGTAGGATGTGGCTCAGCAGCATAGCGCCTGCCTGGCAAGCATGAGGTCCTAAGCTCAATCCCTAGTACAAAAAAGAAGAGAGAGAGAGAGAGAGAGAGAGAGAGAGCTTGATTGTGCCTCACTCTGTCCTTCTGCATAGGCTGACCTCTCCTCTACTGCATCTCGCTCTCATTAGTTCCCTGTGTGCCCATCTCAGGACCCAAGCCCACAGTGCACCTTGGCACAAGTTAGAAGAGAGGCCCTCCCTTAGTGGACGCAGGCAAGAGTTCACACCTGGCTCATTGCCCGGCCTGCACCACCCGGTGGTCCCGCATGGCCCTCACCCTCACAGATTTAGCTGGCTCTCCCGATAACCTTCCTCTGAGCTTTGAAGCCTCCATGAAAACAGTTATCTCACACCCAGCACGGGTCATACCTGCAGGCCCAGCCAGCTGGAGGCTGAGATGGGAGAGTCCAGGGCCACGTGGGAGACCCTGTCTCAAAACAAAAGAATGTTTAAAAACAGTTACCTTCTTTCCCAAAGGGAAAGGCCATCAAGGGATGGAGGAAAGGAGGGAGTAGAGGGAGGGCGGATGAAAAAGGAGTTCCGGTGTGTTGTGTACGCATACCAACTCCACACAAGGAGTTAAACAGTATGTACTGCAAATGTGTACTGACAAAAATAAATTTCAAAAAACCCACTTTCTCTATGAAATTATGGTTGTTTCCCTATATATGTCTCTACCTCATTGGATCAGGGTTTGTTCTTCTTTGATTCCACATAAAGGCCCAGTTCTTTCATTCTTTTCTTTTTTTGTACCGGGGATCAAACTCCATACCTTGGGCTTTCGAGGCAGGCAGAGGAACCACTGAGCTAAATCCCCTGCCCTAAGGCCCAGTTCTTGACACATCAGAAGTGATCAAAAAGTTCACCGAATGGATGAATGAACAGCAGTTTACCTGCTGGTTGCTGCGTTGCTTGTCTGAGAATAAAAGAATTAGAAAAAGAGCTGCCTGAAATGCCTCCTAACTCTAAAATTCTCTTTTCCAATATGAATTAAGTAAACATTTGCTGCAGAAGTGAATAATACACAACCAAAATATCCCTTTAAAAGGACATGGATCCCTTCTAAAGGGACATGGATCAATTTGCTGTTTTAAAATTTCTTCTAGAAGCAGGCTAGTGTGTTTTGGGGATCTCTTACATGGTTTCCCTTGTCCCTCTCTCTTTTTTTTTTTAAGACAAGTTTTCACTATGTGGTCCTGGCTGGCCTTGAACTTGTGGCGATCCTCCTACCTCAGCCTTCCAAATACTGGGATTACAGGCATGGGCCACTATGCCCGCTTGCCTTATCTCCTGAGGCAGCTCTTTTATTCTAATTCCTTTATTATCAGACAAGAACTGGGCTTGAAACTGCAAGAGACATTTCAGACCTTCTGAGACTGGCCAGAACTGGAGTGTAAGAGGAATTGCCTTGGGAAATCCTTCCAGAGAGTGGCTGCCTTTCACTTCATTCAGATCCCCCCTTTACACCACATGGAGATCGTCTCTGTTTGAGATTATATGAATCACCTATTTCTGTCATTGGTCTTTCTCAGATAATTTCATAAGAGGAAGCTCTGTTTCTCAACACAAAGCAGCCTTCACACGCGCCCAAGGCTGATGCTGTTCACCTCGTGAGGAGAGATTTCACCTTGCATCATCCTCCTTTCTGCAGAGCCTGTTCCTAAGGCCACCTTGGCAGCACCCTCAGGGGCCAGCATATTATCCAAGGCATCAAGCCTCTGAGAAACTAATAGGGACAGAGATGTGGAATGAGGGCGTCCCAGGGACACTGACTCCTTGAAATCCCATTCACAATATTGCAAATATGTCGCTGTCTAAAGGACTGCTCCCTCTCTCTCTCTCTCTCTCTCTCCAAGCATTACAGATTGAACCCAAAGCAACACTACCACTAAATGACATCCCCAGTCCTTTTTATTTTTTACTTTGAAACAAGGTCTTGCTAAATTGCCCGGGCTGGCCTTGAACTTGTGATCCTTCTGCCTCTGCTTCCCAAGTAGCTGGGATTACAGGCTTGTGCCCAGCTAAAGATAATTATCTTTCTTTTTTTTTTTTTTTTTTTTTTTTGGTACCGGGGATCTAACTCAGGTCCTTGGCTTGCACAGCAGAGGGCGGAACCTCTGAGCTAAATCCCCAGCCCGATAATTATCTTTTTTAATGATGCTCAAAGGGGCCCATTGATCCCCTCAAACCCAATTAAGAACCACAGGTCTAGAGTGTAGCTAAACGGGACTTTGAAGAGCAGGGGCTTTTAAGATCGGATAAGCTCTGGTGGTTCTGCTGGGTTAGATGAGAGAGCCACAGAGCCCTCTGGACAAGGCGCTCTGCCCACATCAGTGCCCCCTTCCCATCCTGGGTCGCACGCCAGCCGGCTCTGCAGACACAGGAAAGCCCTGGACAATGGCAGACAGCAAATCTGCCCTTTTGGTGTGGGAGACTGAAGCCAGGGCCTGAGGCTGCTAACCGCACCTTCGGCCGCCGCCGTGCTGCTTAGAGGGCTTGAGACATGCTCAAGACCAAAACCGCGGTTCTGCCACCAGAGGGCGCCCAAGGCCCAGACAGATGGGACAAGGCGCCTCCCGCTGTAAAGCAGGCTGCTGGTCAGTAAACCAAGGCTGGAAGCTCCGGTTATGCAATTGGCCTCCACGACCCTTATACCGGCAGCTAGGGGTCGCCCGCTGCTTCCGGCACAGTTGGAGCATGCGTCTTGCCGGTTTTGGTGCCCTCCCAGAGGTGATCACGGACCTCCCCTCTTCCAAGGGGAAATCTCCACCCTGGCTGTGGGAGATCCTGATACTGGGTGAAAGCAGCCTGCACTTCCGGTCTCCACTCCTGAGGCCCTGCAGAGTCCCACCCAGGGCTCGGTCAGGGTCATTTGTGTCATTTCGGCCCATGAGCAGAATCCTGCAGAGGTATTAAAATGTGTACAGAGTTGGGCCAGGGATTTAGGTCTTTGGCGCCTTGCATCCCTTGCAAGTGCAAGGTCCTGAGTTCGATCCCCGGTACCAAAAAACAAAAAAATGTAGAGTTGTGACCTAGCAAGATTGGAAGAGTAAGAAAAGGATCTAGAAGTCAGGCCAAAAGGAAGAGTCACCAGTTTGGGTGAGGACTCCAGACTTCTAGGTACGCTAGTAGAAGGAAGTTTACAAATCTAAACCTATCAGAAGGGTAGAGACTTGGATAACATCAGAAATGTTAAATTTGTAAGTGCATTCGAGAGAATTTAGTGTACTGAGTCCCCCAGGTAAGAGCACTCACCTAGATGCATATGGGCCCCAGACCTGGGATGGAAGGCTCAAATCTCTGACAGTGCAGTCAGCCTCCCTGAGAGCAGAATCACACATCACTGTCGCACGTTTTCCACTTGAGACAGTGAAACTTCTCCCCAGGCGACAAGCATCCTTTAAACTCTAGGAAGACGTGCAGTTACCTGGGTGGCTCTGTCCCACCCCGACCTGGCTAAGATGGAACCCAGTCCTTGGAGTGTCTGTTCTCTGTTAGTGTGAGCCACGAAAGAAGTGTGCACGGTCCACAAGGCAGAAAGCACAGCCGAAGCCCCAGACGTCCCCTGGGCGCCAGTTGTTGCTCCCTTGCACACACTGTCGCTGATCTTCAGGCTTGCTGTGTGCAGGGCAGCAGCCAGGCCCGCAGCCGCCCGCCTCTGCTCCAGCCAGGCAGGCGAGCAGCTGCACAGCAGAGGCCAGGCTGCGGGGGAAGGACACGGGTTCCCGCTGGCTCTGCTCCTCCCCACTTCACATCAGCGTCTCTCCCGCCGGCTCCAGCGCTCTCCGGCCACCACAGCGGCAGAGGCGTGGCCTCTTTCCGGCTCCCCAGACGTCATGGGGCCCAACCTCCAGCGTGTGTCCCTCATTCCACGCCCCTCACCGTCAAAGCTGCACTGACGCACGTCAGAAGGGATGACGCAGAGCAAACGTAGGCCGAGCAAGCTTTGCCGTGGGGCAAGCAACGAGGACTTGTTTTTAAATTGTACGACGTTTCCGTAAAGCTTTTGTAAAGAATTTGACATAGTACAGCTACACATTCACCTACTTATGCTACTTGAAATGTGTAATTTATTGCCCAGCATGCACACGGCCCCGGATTTGATCCCCAGCACTATAAATAAAATAATATAAAATGTGCAATTTAAAAGGTATAATCACTTCAACTGATGACTCTAAGCTGAACGGTATAAAACATGTTGACTATAAACAGAATCATAATGTTTAAGGAATTAAAATTCTCTGTATGTAAACATTTATTAGACTTACAAATGACAGTTAATTATTTAGGGGTGATTTCTTGTCAGGGTAAGAAGCCTGTCCAGTCATGCTTCTGAGCACTTAAAAAGCAAATCCAGTATGTTAAATTTGGATACACAATTTAAAATATTTAAGAGAGTAGACAATATGATCCTATATTTAGAAGACCCTAAAATCTCCACCAAAAGTCTTTTACATTGATAAACAAATTCAGCAAAGTAGCATGCTATAAAATCAACATTAAAAAATCAATAGCTTTTCTATACACCAATAATGAACTACCTGAGAAAGAAATCAGGAAAACAATTCTATTCATAATAGCTTCCAAAACAAATCCTAGGGGTCAATCTAATCAAGGAGATAGAAGACTCTACAAAGACAATTTCAGAACTCTGAAGGAAGAAATCAAAGAAGACACTAGAGATGGAAAGACTCATGTTCAGGGAGCAGCAGAATGAATGTGGTTAAATGGTCATCCTAGCAAAAGCACTGGACAGATTCAATGGAATCCCATCAAAGTACCAGTGACATTCTTTACAGAATCAGACAGACATCCCAGAGGTCATATGGAAACAGGAAAGACCCAGAACAGCCAAACCGAACCGAAGCAAACACCGCAGGGCTGGCAGCACTGCAATACCCAGTCTCTAACGGTGACACAACGGCGAGGTGACAAAATAGCACGGTTCCGGCAGAAAGGGACACTCGGACCAGTGGGACAGAGAGAGGACACAGAACAAACCCACACATCACAGCCAGCTCACTCTTGACAGGGCCAAAGCAAACACTGGAGAAGGACGCCCTCCTTAACAGCCGTGCTGGGAAGCAGGACCTCCACTTGGAGGAGGCTGGAGCCGGGTCCCTGTCCTTCACCCTGTACAAAATCAATTCGAAATGGATCACAGGCCTGGGTCTAAGACCCAGAACTCTGAAACTGCTAATAGAAAATGTAAGAGAAACACCTGAAGTCATAAGCCCAGGCAAAGACTTCCTAAACAGGACTCCAACAGCACAGGAAATAAAAGCAAGACTCAATACATGGGAATACATCAAATTAAAAAGTTTCCCCACAACAAGGGAAATGACTAGCAGAGTGAAGAGACAGCCTACAGAATGGGAGAAAATCCTTGTCTGCTAATCTTCCAATAAGGTTCACATTCAGATTAAGAACTCAAAACCTTGTAGAGAGCAGGACGTCTGGCTTCTGGGCTGGGACCTTCCTGCTGGTAACAATGAAAAAGCGGTGAGCACCGGGCATGGGAGCCGCAGCAGATTTAAAACTAGGTGATGGTGAGACTGGGATGTAGCTCAGTGGCACTGCACCTGCTTCGCAAGCGCAAGGTCCTGAGTTCGATCCCCAGTACAAAAATGAAAAATTTTTAAAAGATGTGATGTTGAGAAAGGCAAGAAGAGTTCTGTACAGAAGTGTGCACAGTGCCGCACTGTGGAGGAGGGAGGCAAGCACAGCCTGGGCCAGATCTCCGCAGTCTGGGTGGGTGGAAGACAGCTCTGGCTGTCGGATTCTTACAAAGATGCCAACGAGAACAAAGGCAGCACCTGGGGAGAGGACACTCTGATGGAGTACTTGAGAATCCCAAGAAGCACATCCCTGGAACAAAGATGATCTTTGCTGGCTTTAAGAAGGGAGAGGCCCGGGGACTTAGCTCAGTGGTTTCACCGCCTGCCCTGCAAGTGAAAGGACCAGAGTTCAATCCCTGGTACAAAAAAAAAAAAAAAAAATCTGCTAATGAGTAAGTCACTGCCTTATTTATTACAGAACAGAAATGTCTCGTGGCTTTTTTATGTGTACCATAATTTAATAGCTCTTATACACCAGAATTCAGATCATGAGTGGCTGACAGGATATTTTTGCTGGACAGTCCTGATTTAAGTAAAATTGGCTTGTAGTTCAATGGATATCCTTTTTTTTCAAGGGTTTTTTGGGGGTTTTTTTTGTACCAGGGATCGAACTTGGGACCTTGCGCTTTCGAGGCAGGCGCTGGAACCACTGAGCTAAATCCCAGGCCTTTTTTTTCAAGTTTTGATAGTAACTCCAGTTCAATAAATTCTATTACTGTTTTCCCTTTCTAACTATATGGTTGGACTTGATTTGCACAAAGATTGAGAATGTTATCTCAAAACCTACTGAAGGTTGGTTTCATATTTAGATTTAAATAACTGGTTGTGTGAATATGTTTAAATACCAAGGAAATCCTTCACTGTCTCAAAACCAAGCAAGACTCCCATTTCAATTTGTATTTATTAGCTTGTTAAAGGCAGTGGTCGAAGACAAGGAAGGAATGTCTATACCTTTGGTCTTGACTATGCCAATTTAATTAGAATTTCCTGTATCTAAGGAAAACTGCTGCCTTTTATTCACTAAAAGGCATTTTAGTGTGGTGTATGTATAATACCAAATAAAGAATATTTAACACTTCTCACATTTTATAGTTGGTCTAAAAGTCCAGATCCTTTCAAAAGTCAGCATGATACAATAGCAAATTAGATTTTACTTTTGAATTCTTTAAGTCAGACAGAGTTATTATTCAGGATAGTATTTAAACGGCTATTTAAAAACAAAAAATAAAATAAAATAAATAAAAACACAAGATTGAAATTACTGTTTTATGTGTGGTTGGCAGTGGTGCTTTTTGTCAGCTTATTAGAAAGATTAAAGTGGGGAAAGTACAACATCAGCACAAATTTGTATACGACCATAACACTTAATTAAAAACAAAATCAGATTGACAAAAAAAAAAATGAACTCAAAAATTTAACACAAGAGGGCCGAGGATTTAGCTCAGTGCTGCAGCCACCTGTCTTGCAAGCACAATGTCCTGAATTTGATCCCCAATATGAAAAAAAAAAAAAACAATGGCCCAATCAATAATGGTAAATGAATCGAACAGACACATTGCAAAATAAGTAGAAATAGCCAACAAGTATATGAAAAAATGCTCACCATTTTAAGGCATTAGAGAAACACAAATCAGAACTACACAGAGATTCTATCTCACTTCAGTAGAAATGGCTATCCACAAATACAAAATATCAAATGCTGGTGAGGATGGAGGGAATGTAAATTAGGATAGCCCCTATACTAATAGCAATCAGTATTGAGTTCCTCAAAAATCTAAAACTAGAACTGCCATTCAATCCAGCCACACCTCCCTTGGTATGTACCCGAAGGAACTGAAGTCAGTCACGGAACACCTGCCTCCCCATGTTCACCGGCATAGCTCACAGCAGCCAAGATACACAGCCAGCCTGCGTGTCCAGCAACAGATGCATAGGTAAAGAAAAACATGGTGTGTGAAAGAACAAAATGTTGTCATTTGCAAGAAAATAGATGGAACTGGAGAGCTACATGTTCAGCAAAGTAAGCCAGACTGAGAAGGACAAAAATATCACGTTCTCCCTTACTGTGCGAAATCTAAAGACAATGACATAAAAGTAGAAGGGAGACCATTAGACAGAAGGGAGGGAATCGGGAGAGGAGGAGGGAGCAAAGGGAGGGCAATGAAGGATGGATAAGATTGAAATGGGGTATTAGACACATTGAAACCCAATATTGTGTAAAATCTTTTTTTCTTTTTTTTGGGGGGGAGTATGGGGGTAGTACGGGGATGGAACTCTGGACCTTGCACTTGTGAGGCAGGCGGCAGAACCACTGAGCTAAAACCCTGGCCCAACATTGTGTAAAATTAACGAAACTATTAATAAAAGGAAAAAATAAAATATTTAAGGGAATTCAGTGGACTATATTTATAGTGGAATTTATGGTCAATGGAATCTAGATTGTTCAGCTTGAGTTCATCAGATTTTAATTTTAAAAAGTGAAGGTGATTGTCTCACTATACCATAAATTACAAAACCCATACTTTGAAAAAGAACAAAGATGCTCAATTTTTATTTGATTCATCATAGAAGAACAAAATTTGCAATTTCAGCTTGCGAGGCAGAAAGGGCTGACCATGTGTGTCTGGGGGCTTGGCCGCACTTCCCGCTGAGCTGCGGGACCGACTTCCAATAGACTAATGTTTTTTTGCCATGCCAGTACCTGCGGACCTGCGGGCCTTTCCCGCGTCCTCAGACATCGGGACTCGGATGCGCAGCACGGCGTCCTGCGCCGCGTTCCTCGACCGAGAGAGGCCTCAGAGCCATGCTGTCCACACCAGGCCTGCGCCTCCCTCGGCCAGGACACGCGAGCTTGGTCCCGCGGCCTCCTGCTCCTCAACGCTTCCTCTCTGGCTCCCAGTCTGAGCTCCCTCGCTGCCCGTCCCGGTGGAGAAGGCAGGGGCTGAGCCCGCTCCGGCTCCCGTTGGCGGCGCGCCCTGTGCGTCCAGCCGGCCTTCGAGCCGGGTTTCCAGCCGCTAAGGCTCCCAGGCACCAGAGGAGAGCCGCGCCCCAGCCCCAGCTGTGCAGGGTGGCGCCGCCGGCCCCGGCCCCGCCCCAGCCGGAGCCAATGGGAAAAGTGAGTCCGCCGCCAGCTCCTCTTCCCGTCACGGAATCAGACTCCCCACCTCAGATCAGTC